AAAAAAAAAAAAAAAGGCCAAGTTGGGTGTGGTGGCAGGCACCTGTAATCCCAGCTACTCAGGAGGCTGAGGCAAGAGAATTACTTGAGCCCAAGAGTTTGAGGTTGCTATGAGCTATGATGTCAAAGCACTCTACCAAGGGCAATAAAGTGAGACTCTGTCTCAAAAAAAAAAAAGGCTGGCATGGTGGCTCACGCCTATAATCCTAGCATTCTGGGAGACTGAGGTGGGTGGACTGCTTGAGCTCAGGAGTTTGAGTCCAGCCTGAGTAAAAGTGAGATCCCATCTCTACTAAAAATAGAAAAACCAGCTGGGTGTGTGGCTGGCACCTGTAGTTCCAGCTACTTGGGAGGCTGAGGCAAGGTGATCTTGAGTTTGAGTTGCTGAGAGCTAGGATGCAACAGAACTCTACTCAGGGCACAAAGTGAGACTGTCTCAAAAAAAAAAAAAAAAGAAAAGAAAAGAAAAAGAGGGCGGTGCCTGTGGCTCAAAGAAAAAAGAAAACCTAAAAGAGTAGAATTGGAATGTTCCTAACCTCCCAAAATGATAAAAGCCTGAGGTGATGGAATGGATACCCCAATTATCCTGATTTGCTTGTATCAAAACATCACATGTACTCTATAAAGATATACAACTATTATGTATGAATAATAATTAAAAGCAAATTAGCCCCCGCCCTCAAATACCAACAACAGTGCTAAGTCATGCTGACAAAAGCTACTACTGATATGTTGTGAAAATATGCTGGAGCTTTCTTCCCCCCAAACCCAAAACCTCAGTCTAATTATGCAAAAAACAGGCAACAAATCCCAACCGAGGGACAGTTTACATGATACCTGACCAGCATTCCTCAAAACTGTCAAGGTTGGCCAGGCACTACGGCTCACACCTGTAATCCCAGCACTCTGGGAGGCCAAGGTAGGAAGATCACTTGAGGTCAGGAGTTCCAGACCAACCTGAGCAAGAGTGAGACCCCTGTGTCTATTAAAAATAGAAAAAATTAGCTGGGTGTTATGGTGGGCACCCGTAGACCCAGCTTACTCAGGGAGCTGAGGCAGGAGGATCATTTGAGCCCAAGAGTTCAAGGCTACAGTGAGCTATGTAATGGCACTGACTGCATTTTAGCAGGGGTGACAAAGCAATACCTTGTGTCAAAAAAACAAAGTATGAGGGATGAAAGTATACACAACAAAATACTGACTTTTTTTGGAGGAGTAGTGTGATTGAGTAAATTCCTCTTTATTAAAAAAAAAATCTGCGGCTTAGCGCCTGTGGCTCAAGTGGCTAAGGCGCCGGCCACATACACCTAAGGTGGCGGGTTTGAATCCAGCCTGGGCCGGCCAAACAACAATGATGGCTACAACCAAAAAATAGCTGGGCATTGTGGTGGGTGCCTGTAGTCCCAGCTACTTGGGAAGCTGAGGCAGGAGACTCGCTTGAGCCCAGGAGTTGGAGGTTGCTATGAGCTGTGAGGCCACGGCATTCTACCCAGGGTGAGAGCTTGAGGCTCTGTCTCCAAAAAAAAAATCCGTGGCTGTTTATTCCAAGAATAAAGGCTATTCATTCCAAGGAAAGAGATGTTTAACCTGGATTTAAACTTTGTACAGTTGGGATTCCATAAAGAAAAAAAAAAAAAAACACCACCACCACAAAGAGCTGCCCAGCTAAGCCTACTTAACCCTTGAAACCATGAGAAATAACAGTAAATTGTTCCCATCCTACTAAGTTTTGGAGTGGTTCCTTATGCAGCAACAGACGATAGCAACATGCTACCATCCACCCCCCTCACTCACTGCGCTGCAGCCACACCAGCCTTCTTTCTGCTCTGGGACCAAACAAAGCCTGTTTCCACCTCAGGGCCTATGCTCTTGACACCCCATGGACCACCTTCCTCCAGCTCTTGACATGGCTATCTCCTTCTCCTCCTTCAGGTATCGGCCTGCCAACCACAGATCATCTGCTCGTATTCTTCACAGCACGATGTCATTCTGGAACTGTCCTACACAAAAGTTTATTCACTGTCTCCCTCCCTTCCCCCATTAGACTATGAGCTCCATCAGGACAGGGTCCTTAACTGCCATTCTTTTTTTTTTTTTTGACACGAGGTCTTGCTCTGTCCCCTGGCTAGAGTGTGGTGGCATTATCACAGCTCATTGCAACCTCAAACGCCTGGGCTCAAGCAATCCTCCTACCTCAGCCTTCCAAGTAAGGTGGGGGGTGCCTGCCACCATACCTGGCTACTTTTCTATTTTTTGTAGAGACAAGATCTTGCTTTTGCTCCGTGTGGTTTTGAACTCCTAATCTCAAGCAATCCTCCCACCTTGGCCCAAATGCTAAGATTGCAGGTGTGAGCCAGTGTGCCCAGCCCTTATTCTTGCTGTACCCCTAGTGTCCAGACCAGTCCTTGACACTCAGGAAGAGCTTCTTAAATATGTATTCAAGGAAGGCAGGTAGCTGCCTGGGGGCCCCTAACTCCAGGGACCTCCTTTTTCCTAATAGTTTTCCTCTCTCAAAGTTCGGGTATAAGGCACAAGGTTCCTCAACCCCCATGCAATGCTTACAACTGAGTGAATTTAAACAAGGCTATGGGCAATGCACAAATATTTTAGCAACATCCCCCAACTGAAGCAGCCATGAAGCACTGTCCCTTGTCTTCCTACAAGGACTGTGTGCCTTTTCTGGCTTTTTGGAATTTGCTTTAGGAGCTGCTTTTTGAGTCAGTGGTTTGGTTTTTTTTTTCTGGCATACTGACAATGGGGCAAATCACCATCCTTTGAAGGTAGCTCCTTCTGGTAATAGTTCTAGGTCATTCAGAGGTGAATGGGGACAACCAAGCAGGTGGACAAATGGGCGTATTGTACCTGGGATCAACAATGAGGGAGATTTGAACCTGCCCAACTGATATCCTTAGTAGCTCATGTCTCAAGTCCCAGACATGAACTAGCAGCTGTTAAAGGCACAGCTATTTAATCCATGGTGATTAAGAATGGGCTCTTTGGAGTCAGAATGCCTGGGTTCAAATCCAAGCTCTGCTACTTCAAGCTTCATGACCTTGGGCAAATGACTTCACTCCTCTTTGCTTCAATTTCTCTACATGTAAAGCAAAAATGACAATGACATCTACCCCACCGATTTGTGGGAAGGTTAAATGAGTCAATACCTGGAATAACTTAGAAGAGTGTCTGGCACATAGTAGGCACGATACAGACATTAGCTCTTGTTATTTATTAGAGATTCATACACAGGTCCTAGCTGCCCACTCAATGGTGCTATGACCTTGGCAAGTTATTTAACTTCACTGAACTCAGTCTGCACACCTATAAAGTAGAAATTGATAATAACACCCATTTCATAAAATTTCTCAGAGGCTTAAATAAAATAAAGCATGTGGAAAATGACAGTGATAGCTAACACTGGCAGGTCACCTACTATGTGCACCAGCTTTGTGCACTAGAAGGCAGCTGCTGTCAGTGCTCTTTCCATTAAACCAGTGAGGACACTCGGGTCTGGGAGCTTGCTCAGAGGCACCAGAGAAAGAGGCAGAGCTGGGTCAGGGCTCAGGACTGTCTTACTACAAAGTCTGGGCTTGTTTCTCCACGTCATTTACCTTTCACCACATGTGAATTCATCTGTTCCTCATACTTCCTAAACCAAGTCTGACTTCTCAGCCCCCGATCTTTCCTGTCATGCTATAGCATCAAGGGTCAGTACACCATGTTAGTTGTCACCACTGTAACTACACCATAGCTCCCTGAAGACTGGGGCTGGGTCTTCCTCATTTTTACGTATCATCTTTGGCCTGTGAATGCTATGTCCCATATATGACAGACGCTCTATAAATATTTCATAGCCTGTGTCTATGTCCTGCTGACCTATTTTTTTTAAACAGGGCCTGCTGGAGTGCTATTAATAAAGCACATCCAATAATTATGAGGATGACATCATTTCTCAACCTGCACCGAAGTTGTTTCTCTCTAGAAGCTGGTTCCAGTTTTCACCTTGTGAAGAGGAAGGTAGCAGGGGAGTAATTCTCACGCCTAGAGGAGGAAATTGAGATTCATGTGACTGCACAATGTTCTTTTTATGACATCCCTTATCAGCCGATAAACTTTTGTTCTACCTTGTGGCAGGTCAATGTCCCACCATGTCAGGTGTTGAGATGGAAATAGATCACACAGGATCCCAAGTTCAACAGACAGAGCACCTGCACCTTTGGTCTCAAACATCAGGGTGGGGTAGAGGAGAGCGCCAGAAAGGTGCTGATTATCTATGAGCCCCATGCCCTTCCCTTAAACCCAGCAATGCTAACCCTCCAAGTACCTCTGGATCCATTGTTCTTTGTAGGAAGCACTGAAGGAAATGCCTGCAAAAAGCTCCGACTTATTGAAACTCACATGAAACTGATCCCAGAATGGGCCAAAGGGGTTTCCTTCCTGTAGAAAGAGAGTGGTAGAAGGCTTACTGAGGGGAAGGGAAAGCCACCTGGGGATGGAGCTGAGAAACTGTAGGTGCAAGAACCCTGGATTGACTGGACTCAGGCTAAAAACATCCCCATAAGATGGCCAGGTAGGAATGTCACTTTGCAATTCCTGGGTTAGTGCTTCATATCTGGTTTCTAGCAGATGTTCACCACAGTGAAGGAGTCCTTCCTACTCACATGCCACTTCCTTCACTGGTGAAGATCTGGGGAGGAGCAGATCTTGGATTGGGAACCAGAATTAGAGCTGCAAGAGACCTGCAAGACTGCTAATTCAATGCCCTCACTTTCATTCAAGATGGAAACCAAACTCGGAGAGGGTAAGATGCTTGCCCCAGGTCTCATCTCACAGCAGGTGAGGGGAGTGTTGGGCTGTAAGCTGGGTCTCCTTTCTCAAATGTCATAGCTTTTCCAGCCACTCTCCCAGATTTTAGCACATACTCTGAAAGACATATTTGGGGACTGTCTCACTTCCAAAGTGCCAGAAATTTATAAACTTCTATTAATAAAATACGACAATTTCTCATTTACCTGCTGAGAGGTAGGAAAGTATTCAAGTTAAGAGAGGGGACCAGGGAGCCAAATTACAATAGGGTTGAATCCCAACTCTATTATTCGTTTGCTATGTGACCTTGGGTAAACTACTGAACCTCACTGTGCCATACTCAAATGTCTTCTCTATACAACGAGGATATGATTAGTATTTTCCCCATGGAGCAGTTTGAGATTAAACGAGTTAACATGCATAAAACTCTTAGCATGGTACCTGACATACAGTGGGCATACTATGTGAGCATCAGTTATTACTATAAACATGGCACATTACAGTTCTTACACCTGGGCCTCATGACACTCTGTGAGCGAGACAGAGCAGGGACTGGCATCTCTAGTTTGCAGGTAGAAAGAAAGGTTGAGAGAAAAAAGTCTTCTACCCAAGGTAACAATGCTGACAAAGGCTAGAATTTGTACTTATATATCCATCTTTCTACTCTTAGCCCTTCCACTGCCTTTCCCCAAATACTGTCATCATGTAGCTCAGAGGCCTAGATGACAAAAACCTGGCAGAAAGGGCCCATAATCCAAGGGACTCACCTTCATGGGGCATGTCTTCTTATCAGGGCTTCGCTGGGCTGCTACCTCAAAGCAGTATGCCACCCGCTTCTCAGGGGGCCAGTGGGTGGGTGCCAGCTTCTCCATGAAGTTCTCCAGGCTGATGACTCGATGGTAGGCCTGCAGGGGTTCCAGCTTGAAATATTTCTGGTAGGACACATGGAGCTACAGGAAAAGGAGGAAAAAGGGGCAGATGTTCCTCTTCAGTGTCCCAGTAGATGTTTTAGAGACATTTACTAACACCATACACGCCAAGATCAAGACAACTCAGACTATATGATGATGAACAATTTTGTCAAAAGACACCGAAGTTAGGACACAGGCTGGGGAAAGCTATTTCTAAACTAAAAAACAAACAATAATACCTCTCATATTCAAAAATGCCTGCTAGGCCGGGTGAAGTGGCTCATACCTATAATCCTAGTACTCTGAGGTGGGTAGACTGCCTGAGCTCAGGAGTTCAAGACCAGCCTGAGCAAGAGCGAGACTCCGTCTCTAAAAATGACCAGGCATGGTGGCAGGCACCTGTAGTCCCAGCTACTCAAGAGGCTGAGGCAAGAGAATCACTTCAGCCCAAGGGTTTGAGGTTGCTGTGAGCTATGATGCCATGGTACTCTACCCAGGGTGACAAAGTGAGACTCTGTCTCAAAAGAAAAAAAAAATGCCTGGTGATCTATAAGAAAAAACAAATGATGCCAAGAGAAAATATAGGCAAAGGTTAGGGATGAAGAACTCACAGCCAAAGAAATCTAAATAGTCAATACACTCAAAAGATGTGCAACTTCACTAGTAATTAGGAAAAAGCAAATTATAACAAGGGAAATTATAACAATTATCACTTCTCACCCTTCAGACTGGCAAAAATTTAAAAGCTTAGCTCTAATTGTTGGAAAGGGCATGGGGAAACAAGCATTCTCCTGCATGGCTGCTAATAGAAGTGTACATTCTGGAGCAATCACTTTGGGTTGTAATCTGTCTATATTTCCTCCTGTCCTCTCCCCTTCCCTTTCCTCTCTCTTTTTTCTTTCTTTCCTTCCTTCCTTTCTTTTTTTTTTGTTTTTGAGATACAGTCTCACTGTGTTGCCCAGTCTAGCATGCCATGGCATCAGCCTAGCTCATAGCAACTTCAAACTCCTGGGTTCAAGTGAGCCTGCCAGAGCCTCCTGAGTAGCTGGGACTATAGGTACCTGCTATGATGCCCAGCTAATTCTTCTAGTTTAGTAGAGACAGGGTCTCCCTATTGCTTAGGTTGTTCTTAAACTCCTGAGCTCAAGGGATTCTCTTGTCTTGGCTTCCCAGAGTGCTAGGATTACAGGCGCGACCCCACCTGGGCCCTTGCACTTTGCGGTACAAGGATGCTCAGTGCCACGCTGAAAGTATAAGAACTTGGAAGGAGTCACACTAAATACATTAAATCTATGATAGTGGCTCGGCGCCTATAGCTCAACCGGCTAAGGCGCCAGCCACATACACCTAAGGTGGCGGGTTCGAATCCCCAGCCCGGACCCGCCAAACAACAATGACGGCTGCAACCAAAAAATAGCCGGGCGTTGTGGCGGGCGCCTGTGGTCCCAGCTACTTGGGAGGCGGAGGCAGGAGACTCGCTTGAGCCCAGGAGTTGGAGGTTGCTGTGAGCTGTAATGCCACGGCACTCTGCCCAGGGGGACAGCTTGAGGCTCTGTCTCAAAAAAAAAAAAAAAAAATCTATGATAGTGGCTGAAGGACTCTTATTAGCCACAGGGGCCAAGAGAACTTTTTTCAATTTATCTGTAACATTCTATTTATTTATTTATTTATTTATTTTTTTTTTTTTGAGACAGAGCCTCAAGCTGTCCCCCTGGGTAGAGTGCCATGGCATTACAGCTCACAGCAACCTCCAACTCCTGGGCTCAAGCGAGTCTCCTGCCTCCGCCTCCCAAGTAGCTGGGACCACAGGCGCCCGCCACAACGCCCGGCTATTTTTTGGTTGCAGCCGTCATTGTTGTTTGGCGGGTCCGGGCTGGGGATTCAAACCCGCCACCTTAGGTGTACATGGCTGGCGCCTTAGCCGGTTGAGCTATAGGCGCCGAGCCCATTCTATTTATTTTATTAACAAAAAGAGAAGATGAAACAAAGTTGAGAAAGTGTTCATGATTATCACTTCTAATGGGGGGTACACGGATGGTGATTGTATTCATCTTAGTATTCTTTTAGATTGAAAAAAAAATTCTTAGAACGCCATGAAACAAAATTTGAACTTTATCCTACAGGTCACAGTTTCTCAAGCATGTCCCACTAGTTCAGGTAGATAAGGGGTTCTGCAAACAAAACAAAAACAAAAACAAAAAACAAAAGTCTCCAGAGTTAATGAGGGGTAAGAAATACTGTTTTAAGCAGGCTTCTTTTTTGCAGGACTTCTCAGTGCCTTTAACATGCTCATGTGAACTGAGAATCTACAAATTTAAGGGAATGAGAGATTGAGAATATAATTTCTCCAGCTGATTTAACTACTCATCTTTCTTGCATGAGCTATTGGCCTTCCAACGAACAGACTTTGGGTACCTTAACAACAAGCAATGAGGTATTACTGAAGGATTTTAAGCAAAAATATTATGAGATTTGCCTTTTTTGAAAGATTACTCTGGTGGGAGAAAAGAGAATGTTATTGATGGTATGATAAGAGGAAGGAGAAGAATCAGGAAGCCGTTGCAATGGTCCCTTTATTTGTCAGGTATGCATCCAACATACATTTATTGGATACTTCTCACACATCTAAGCAAGAGATGGAGCAGCAGGGACAGATAGAAGATGCAAAGAAAGGCGAAGCTGAGGGCTTGGGGGTTGCCATGTGTATGGGAAGGGATCCATTTAGCATGATCTCTGGGTTCCTAGCTTGGTATCCTGGTGAATGAGGGGACATCAACTAAGGCTAGGAATACAGATCGTAACACAAGTTTGAGGGGAAAGAGGCAGAGTTCAGTTCTGGCTTTGGGAATGTGAGATATCTGTAGATACCCAAGTAGACTCAAGGGTCTAGGAATCGGAAATACAAGCCTGTTGTCTGAAGAAAGTGTGGGCCACAGATAAATTTGGGAGGTACATGGAGAATAATGAAAGCCACAGAGTCCAAATTTATGAATTTAGGCGGCGCTTGTGGCTCAAAGGAGTAAGGCGCCCGCCCCATATACCAGAGGTAGTGGGTTCAAACCTGGCCCTGGCCAAAACTGCAAAAAAAAAAAAAAGTTTATGAATTTATAGTAAAGCAAGTAACAGCAATAATAGTAACTAATATTTATTGCATGCTTAATGCTAGATGATGTACTTGTTACTTTAGATAGATTTGCTCGTTTAATTCTAAGAGGTAGGAATATAATCATCTCCAGTTTCCTTATGAAGGAACTCAGGCACATGGAATCTAGATGACTCATCTGAGGTCACATAGCTAATAAGCAAACAGAAATGAGGAGAAACACCAACATCTAAGCAGGGGTGGAAAGAAGGAGCCCTTGCTACAGCACACAGAAGAAAATGCTGAGAGGTCAGGACTGCAGCAGAAACCAGTGGTGTCTTAGCAGCTGGAGGAAGGGGAAAGTTTCAGGAAGGAGAGAGGCTCATGGGGCCAGGTGCCACTGGGAGGTCAAGACTGAGAAATGTCCCCTGGATTTGGTAATTCTGAGGTCTCTAGTGACTTCAGTGAAAATGATCACAGTGGGGAAGGGGACAGATTAGTAACCCACAGAAAGAAAGGAAGTGGAGTCTCAGAAAGACAACTGGCTAAGGAGACAAGGAGACAGCAGGCAGACAAGCCATGGGGAGATGGACAAGCAATATCTAAACTATAACAGTGAGTGCAAAACAATCAGAACATCAAGGGCTCCCAGTAACTGAGCGTTCCTGTGTCCGAGGCTCTTTACATTGATAAGCTCAGTTGATTCTACGAAGGAGGAATATGACAATGTTCAAGACACGTTACTATCATTAATTCATCCAATCCTCACCACAGGAGGTAGCAATAATTATTACTAGCCTATTTGAAAGATGACGAAACTAAAGCACAAAGAGGTAAAGTACCCTGCCCAGGCCACACAACTAGAGCGTGGCCAAAGCAGCCTATGATCTCAAGTATTCGGGCCTTTAACCTCTGTTCCCAATCTCTTTAAATATAAAAATGCAAAGGAAAAAATAAAACCTATGCAGAAAAAGAAGACAGTAAGAATGAAGTGTTTTGTGCATACTAAGTATCATTTCTGATATCTATTCAAAAATTGTTAAGCAATTCATCAAATCTTAATTAAGTTCCTCCTGTAAGGCCCCTAGGGATACAATGTGAACAAAGATAGACAGGGCTACTGGAGGACACAAAGAATAAACAAGGAACTAAAGGATGTGGAGCATCACCATGGCAAGGAAGCCCCTTGAAGGGGTGAGAGACTGCACTGGAGCAAGACTCCCTGGGTTGTGGCCTCAGACATGTTATTAACTAACCTGTGCCTCTGTTTCTCCTTTAAAACTGATAATATCCATCATCATTGAATGCAAAGAAAGTAGGCTCCATTAGGGCTACAAAATGCAGGCTTTAGGTTTAAATCACAGGCCCTACAGTCAGATAGACAGGTGCTTAAATTTCTACTTTACTACTCACAAGCTGTATGATCCTGGACAAGTTACCTAATTTCTCTAACCCCAGTTTCCTCACAGGGATGTGACTGAAAGTAAAATAAGTCAATTCTTATGCAGTGCTCAGAACACTGCCAACACGTAGCAGGTGCTGGATAAATGTTATTCCAGAGAAGACAATTCTGGTTGGGGGTAGAGTGCTCAGAGGAGTGGGAGGTAAAGCTCAGAGAAGGACTTGGGGGTCAAACAGGAGTAGTTAAGATTGGGAGAGGCGAGGCAAAGGCCAAGGTCAGTGGCAAGTACTCACATTGGTGAAGGGAGGCTTGTGATGCTGGTATTCAATCCAAGGAGGAACAGCCAAAGTGCGGTTTAGGAGCTTCGCAAATGCCAGGGAGCCCAAGAAGTGATCAGCCTGGTTCCCAAAGCGCCCTAGGAATGGTACATTGGGGGTGAGGTGAGGTCTGAGGCATTGAGGTTATGGGGCATGCAAGGCTCAGAAAGGATGTAGAACCACTGGTGGAGAAGGCTGAGACACCAAAGAGATCTAGGGGAGCCAGCAGCACAGGACTAAGTCTGGACTACAGAGTCTGCCATCCATGGCCCTGGCCCTGCTCCAATTGCCTTGGTCACTCCAGGCTCCTTGCTGTTTCCCCATCACACTCTACAATTCCCATCCCCACTTCCTCCCTTTCCTCTTGCTGTTCCCTCAGCCCGAGTGCCCTTCCACCTCTATCTCCATTCAGCTGTAAGTGAATGAGCAATCCAATGCCTCATTCATTGGGATCCTTTCATCAACCCTGTGACATACATCTCTTCTTCCTCTGCCTCTTACATTGGACTTGAGTTACATAAATCCTTCTATTTTCCACAAATGTCTTTTTCTTACTTCCTGGCCTTTGTACTGGCTGTTTCTTCAGCTTGCAAATACCTCAGGGGCAAGGACCCTGTCTGATTCTTTTTGTTAATCCCAGCGTGGCATCCATTCATTCATTCCACAGATATTGAGAGGTCACAGTGCGCTAGGCTGTATGCTAGATGCTGGGATACAGGAGTGAGCAAGAAGGACAAGGTCTCTGTCCTCAAGGCACTCATAGTCCAGCTGGGGAGACACTAAACATGTGAACGGACATATAGTAATAAATTCTGATAGTTTCAAGACAGAAAACATTTTGTGAAGGAGGATAACGAAAAGACTTGAGTAGAGGTCAGTGAAGTCCCTTCTGGTAACATTTAATCTGAGGTCTGAAAGATGGGAAGCAGTGGGTCAGGCAGAAGTGAAGGAGGGCATTCTTCACTTTAGGGAATAGCACAGGCACAGCACAGTACCTGAGTGTGTGTGAGGAACAGGAAGGAACTAAGTGTGGCTGAGCTAGAGGATCAGAGAAGGGAATTGTGTAGGCGGGGGTTGGGAACCATGCAAGGCTTGAAGGCCATGGTCAGGAGTTTGGAAGCCACTGTAAGTTTTTAAAAAATGAATGACTTTTACAATGATGATCCACTACACCTTATTTAAATCGTACTTCTCAAAAGCTTTTACCTCCTTTTATTTTCCCATAGCATTCATCATCTTCTAAGAAGCTATGTTATTTATTTTTACGTTTATCCCTTATAGTTTGTCTTTCCCAAATGAAGAGAGATGAAGGCTTTATAAGAGTATAGAATTCATCTGTCTTATTCACTGCCGTATTCCCAGCACAGAGAACAGGGCCTGGCACAGATCAGGTGCCCCATAAATATCGTTGCACGAATGAAAGAAAAGCCATCAGTCAGCATGGATTAGTGACGTCAAGTCCTGCCCCACTAACTCCGTTTACTGGACTCCAGGCTGGGAAGTCACGTAACCTCTCCTAGCCTCAGTTTTCTCATCTGTCAAATGGAAGGTTGGACGCGGCAGCCTCTCTGTGCCCTTGCAACTAAGGCGGACAGAAGAAAAGGCCCTGTCCTGCTCTTGGGTTCTCTCCTGAACCTGTCAAGTGTCTCTGGGCGTCTCAGAAAGTGGCTTCTTCTCTCCCGGCCTCAGTTTCTCCATTTGAGCAGAGGACGCAGGAGACCTTACCCATGCAGGGGCAGTACAGCAGGTAACCGGCGGGGTCCCAGGAGCCCACGGGGAGCCCCGGGAGAGGCAGAAGGAGCAACAGGAGGGACAAACGCAGCAGCAGGGGCAGCAGTGCCCACGCGGCGGCGCCCATGTCAGCTCCGGAGCCAGAGCGCGCAGTGGCTCAGAGGCATAGGGGGAAGGAGCGCGAACGTCCGCCCCGCTCCCGACGGTCCCTGCGCGCCGCCCGCGCGCCGCCCCGGCCACTCTAGCCCGCGGGCGGGCGGGACCATAGAGATTCCGCGGCACCGCCCCCTCCACGACCCGAGCGCCCGCTCGCGCGGCTCCCACAATGCACCGCACAATGGCCCGACCGCCGCCGCTACCGGGGCCTGAACTGGCCTGGCGGAGCCCGAGCGCGGCCCGGCCCGCAGCGCGGGGCCCCGAGCGCAGTGAGTGCTGGCGAGGGCCCCAGGGGACGGCGGGGAGCGGGGCGGGAGGCCGTCTCGCTGCGTCCGCGCGCCCTGTACGCAGAGCAGCGGCGCCCCTCAACTCGGGCCCCATCAGCGCGGTCGCCCACACCCCGGACCTGGGGGCCCCGTCTGCGCTAAGCGGGCCCCAAATGGGCCCTAGGGTGACGAAGACTCTCCTTGGACTCGATACCTGTGTCTGGGAACCCGGAGGAGCCCCACTGGCCTCCTCCCTTCCGCGACCTATAGACACAGTCCCGAGAGTCCCCCACTCCCGACCCCCAGGCTCCCTGGAGACCCAGATAACGCGCTGGTGACCTTACCAGAGACCCGGGGCTGGGGAGGCAGATAAGCTGCACCTGCTCGCGCCTTCAGACACGCCTACCGCCTTTCCTGCTCCAGAAGACCCGCTCTTTACCCAACTTCGTTTTCCAAACTTACATATACATAACCCCTTTTGAGGCGTCCCTCAAATAGCTGGGTCTGGAGAACCCAAATGATCCCTACCTGTACTTCCCTCCTCAGTGACCATATTCTCAAACTGAAGACTCATCCGGTTGCCTATTTTGAGACCCTTTTGAATCTGGGACTATTTTCAACTACCTGACTATCTTCAACACCTGGAGCCCTCCAACCCAGATAATCCCTTATCTTTCTTTTGGGGGTCTCTTAGACACCCAGACACCTTGCTCATGATTCATTATCATACTTGGTCTTCCTTCCCATCCCTGAGACCCCCCTTCAGACTTCTCCCTGAATTTCCCTTCCTTCTCCAGCCCTTGTCGGCTCCTGTCTCTCCAGTCCCTCCCCAAGAAATTTAACTTTTCTCAACACACAGTGGGGTGGTCTAGAAGCTGGCTGGGGGCCAGGCTGTCTTCTGCAAATCCAGTCTGTTCTGTGGCCCAGCTTGATGTGGGGAGAGGGGACAGCTGTATGGGGGAGTTGGTGCTTTCACCTGCAAGTGTATAGCCTGTCTCCTGGTTTGTGTGTTTTTCCACCTGTCAGCCTTAGACTGTGATAGTCTGGCCTTGAGTTTCTTAACCCTTCCCTCATAAGGTGAGGCCACTGTATTTGAGGGAAAGGGGGTGTTTAATCACATTTCCTCCCTGTGAAAATGGGCTGTGGTGAGTAGCAGCCATTTGCTCAAGGCCTCCCCAGGAGTGGGAGGCAATAGGAATCTGAGGAAATAGTGAATCAAAGGGACTCCAAAGAGGGCCGTCTACACTGATAGAAGAACTAGCCTGAGAGTAAATCCAATCCCTGCTAATCCTGTTTGATGTTTCTTGGAATGATGCAAGTCACTGAGACTCTTCAGCCTCCCTGTAATTTAATTCTCCCACCACTCGAGAGTGTGTGTGTGAAAGAGAGAGACAGGGTGTGTGTAAGGGGGGGGGGGCAGTACTCTCATTCCTCCTTTTCCTTCTCACTGTTTTCCAGCCAACCAATTTTTTTTTCTAGTACTCAGGTTAGGACCTATGATTTTTTTCTTTATGTATAGTTTCCCAGTTGCTATTTTGGGTTCTGCTTAAGGGAAGGTTTTACCCCAAGAATGATCCTGGGTGTATTTCCTCCAGCAGGTGTTGAATTGAGTTCTTCAGATCCCCAAGTAGCTCTTGGGCAGGAGGGATAAAAGCTATTTTAGGATAGTCACCAAAGTGGAGCTGTTAATCCTCTGTGGGTCTCTTTAGTTAAGAACATTCAGAGATTAACCCTTTCCTTGCTGCAGGGGTGCTATCTCAGTAGTATTTTCTTGGGGTGGGGTGAGTTGCGAGAATTAGAATGTGGCAGCAGAAGGTGCAACTCAATACTGAGAAAGAGATCATAGCTGTCTTTTGTTGGGCACTTCCAGCAGGCCAGGCCCTGTGCTGAGCCCTTTGCATACCTGACTAAAATAATCCTTACAACAAGCCTGTGAGGTAAATATTTTTAGCTTTACAGATGAGGAAACAGGCTAATAATGGAGAAAGAACGCAGTTTCTATAGAGATGATGTAACACCATAAAAACTATAGTTTCATCAGAGGGCAGCAGACATCATGGCATACAATAGAGGATGGACAGACCGGGAGCAATATGTCTGTTTCAGCCTGCACTGAGGGCCACACGCAGTTTTTTTAGCAAGCATTCCTGTTGGGGTACAGAGCCTTAAGAACACAAGAGGATATAAGAAAGTGGCTATCTGGCCATGAGGAGATGGTGCTGGAGGAAGGTAAAGTAAGGGGCTGCTTAGAGGGGATGTGCTGGGGGTTAGTTGTGAAGGAAAAGTGGAAGACTGCATTCTGGGGAGATGTTGGGAAAGGAAGGAAACTCACTCTGAGGCCTGAAAAGTAACATTAAAGGGGAGAAAAAGAAGTACTCATCTGGCCTCATGCGGAAAAGAGGCAGGCACAATTTAGACCTCAGCATTGCATGTATTCTGCACATATTTTATGTCAGATGCTTATAAGAATGTTACTTGCTATTTTATAAGAATCTTATGGGTAAGGAGAATAAATCTCTATGTTAGAAATTGAGAAAACTGAGGTTCAGAGAAATAAAGTAACTTGCCTATGGTTTCCTAGCCAGTAAGTGGCAGCTCTTCTGATAGCAAGTCCAAGGTTCGTCCATGCTACCTCCCCTTTCAGATCAGTCACTAGAATCTTAGGCTGAAAATATACTGAGTTACACCAGTAACTGGGAGGGATTGTGTTTGTTTTATGGAAACAGGTTCTGTCAGCTTCTCTATAGTTGTTAAGGTTAGAATGTGAGACCAGAAGAGCAGCTTTGAAAGAGAAGCAGAATTCTTTCAGTTTTGCTGAGGAAGGAGAAGTCTGAAGGAACAGGCTTTCTGATTACATGAGACAAATCCAGGAATCTTTCTGGATCAGAGGAGTTTGCAGACAAAGGGCAGAGAGAGAAAGAACAGAGAGACTAGATTCCCAGAAGGGTTCTTTTTAAAGCCATATCCCCATTAAATGCAGATCAAGGCAAGCACATGGCTGCCACTTTCCTCCTTTCGTCCTATGAGTACAACCTCGTGAGCTCTTCTTAGCCACCACCAGCCTCTTTCCTAGAAGCCCATTACTCACTCTTTCAGTAGCAGTGTGCTAAAGTGCTATGTCTTGTTTGTGCTTGTTCAGGAGAACAGATGAGGTGGACGTGTGGGAGGTGGGGACATACTGTTCTCTTTCTGAGTTTGTGCGGAATTTCCAGGGCTAGGCTCCCCTCTCACGTCAGCCAAAGTGATGTGACTTGTTTCCTTCTGCCATTCCTAGCTTTCCAGAGGCTGAGGTACATGATTTCAGATATGAAGGGGAAGCAGAATTTGACTTTGATAGGAGTAATTCCTTCCAAACTAAACATGTACACTTGAGCTCACTCTTTACCCAATTCCAAGGTGCGTAGTAATCACTGGTATTATAACAAGTAATTCCACCCTGGTGAAGGAGGAGGGGACTTAAACGATGAAAGCCAGACATCAGAGGCCTGTGAGGTTTATAGTGAAGTAGGTAACTATGCTATGATGACTTGAAGGTTCAAGTGGGACTAGTTTTTAGTGCTGTCCACCTTCCCTGGCATGTGATTCATGCAAAATGCAGCCACTTTTATGCAGATCTTTCTAGGCAAATCACCACTCGTGATGGGGAAATGTTTATCATGTTACTTTGCAATGTTTCTTCAATGAGAGGAATGGTTCCTGAACAGGTCGTAGCTCATGTTGATGATGAGCAAAGCTCTCTGGGGCATGAACCCGCTGATCCCATCATCTCGTTCATCTCGTTCACGGCCAGTCTGTTGGATGAATGGTCACAGTAAGCAGCAGGTGCTAATGAGCTGAGCAAGCATTCTGTGGCCCACAACTAGTTTGTGCCATTGGAGCCCTCCCCAGATTCTGGTGGACGATCCCCAGACACCCCTTGTTTTCTCGTCATATGGAAAAGCCTAATGATCAAATTTTGGCATAATCTCTTTGAAGGGAATTCCCCTGTTAAGTTACAGATTGTATTGCAGTTGATAATCTGTGAGTTTGTGAGTATGAATGTAGGTCTTTTGTCCCCTTTTGAGAGATAGTATGCTAACTCCTTCTGAGTTGGTGTCAGGAAAGGAATTGTATCACCCTTGCACCAGCCTTCCCTCCTGCCCCCCAAAAGAGAAGTAATCAGACTTGTCTCCCCACTTTGAAAGAGCTGTGAACCTGGTTTAAGCCAGAACTTCCTGGGCATAATTTAGTCCCTGAGAATCAGCTTGCATTCAATGACTAATTTACTTATTGAAAAGAAAGTTGAGGTTTTTTCCTAGATGTTAGGTATATAGAGATGAAAGAGATGATATGAGTCCTCAAAGAGTGTAGCAAAGACTAAATTCCAATGCAGGTATGTTACCAGCTGATAATGGAAAAGTGCATATGTATGTACTATAGGGTTATAGTGGTGCATCTTGGAGTATTGGAGAGGTTTTGCCAAAGAAGCATGGTTTGGACCCCAAGACCCAGATTCACAGAGGTCAGAATGTGATCTTTTCTGGTTTAGGGAAAATGCTAGTCTGCTATTACCACCTCAGATAAATCCTCCTGATGTTGATGCACTGCTAAGAAACACATCTGGTGTAGGGGCTGACTTTCTAGGATGTAAATTTCCTAAGTAAAGTCTTCTCTGTTGCCTTTTGGGCATTTTATTGCTCCTTCACACCTCCATGAGGAGGAAAATTGTAGAAAGTAGTGGACGAGTTGGTGCTAGGATAATTAGGAAGAAGAGGAACTGCTGTCTCTAGGTTTAGTGGAAAGGATGTAAAAGTGAGATCCAAAAGAGAAAGTTTGAAGTTTTAGGGCTTTTAGTTCCTCTGTGTATCTTGTTTCTTACTGGCCTAGTTGGTAGTAATGATAGTTGCCACTAAGCCCTTACTGTATGCCTAGCCTTTTGCTGAATGCTTTATAGTCGTGATCTCATTTAATCCTCAAAACATCCTTACAGTTTAGGAGATCATTATGCCAATTTTATAAATGAGGAATTAGTCAGGGGAAAGTAACTAATTGGCTAGAAGTCTCATAGGTTCTGAGTAGAAGGGCTGGAATTAGAATGGGATGGGGCTGTATCCAGAGCCCATGTTCTCATGGTATTAGACTCCCTAACACCAAGTGTTCTGATGTTTCAGGTGAAAAGATTGTTTTCTGAAGGCTGCGTTGGAGACTGTGACAGAACAGAGAACCCATGTGAAGCTGATGGGGGAGGCTTTCTGAATAACATGGCCCTTCGCCATTAGCCTTGCCATGACCACATTTTTTACCAGCGTCCCTCCTTGGATTCAAGATGCAAAGCAGGAGGAGGAAGTGGGCTGGAAACTAGTTCCCAGGCCTCGGGGCCGAGAGGCGGAGAGTCAAGTGAAGTGCCAATGTGAAATCTCGGGGACACCCTTCTCAAATGGGGAGAAGCTGAGGCCTCACAGCCTCCCCCATCCAGAGCAGAGACCGTATAGCTGCCCTCAGCTGCACTGTGGCAAGGCTTTTGCCTCCAAATACAAGCTTTATAGGTAGGTGACACTCTCATACCTCTTCCTGCCCTAAAGTTTCCAGAGGACAAAGCCAGAAACACCCTGCTGAATGTGGGGAAGAGTGGAGAAGAAGAATGGAGGTTAATTCATCCCACAAACCTCCCTGAACAGCAAACATTTGATGGTACTCAGTGAAAACGATTGAGATCATTTGATTCAGACTCAAGTATCTGATGGCTACAATATCAGGCAGCCATGAACAAACTAGCCTGAACATTTTTTTTACTACTCCTTTTCCTACCCCTGTCAAGTGATGGTCAGAATTTTAGCCAGAAGTTAGAGATTGGTTTTAGAACTTTAGAAGGCAAAGTAGACCCGCTGATCAAGTCTGAGCCTCCCTCTGGAGGCTCAGCATGAGGATATAACTTATTCAAGATCACATAGCTTCTTAGGTCCTGCAGTGCCTCTTCTCCTGAATCAGACTGCTACTCAAATGATTACAACCGTCTCCCTGGTGCCCACTGGGCAGCTGTTTTTTTATGAAACATGCAAGCTCAAGACACCCTACTTAAAGTGAAACTGAATGCGAAAGCCCTGGCATAAGCCAGAATGGCAGCTCAGCTTTATTCTTGCTTTTTTATCAGTGAGGAATCGTGAACTTACCCTTTGCAAATGAGATAGAACAGCCTGATGCGTAGTCATCCAACCATCCATTCATCTATTCAACTGTTATTTATTGGGCTCTGGTTATGTTATCGTATATAGTGTTCAGTATCACAGTAGTGAGCCAGACAGATGTGGATGCTGGCCCTCATTGAGTTTATGATTTTTTTTTTTTGAGACAGAGTCTCAAGCTGTCACCCTAGGTAGAGTGCCATGGCATCACAGCTCACAGCAACCTCAAACTCTTGGGCTTACGTGATTCTCTTGTCTCAGCCTCCTAAATAGCTGGGACTGGAGGCATCCGCCACAACACTTGGCTATTTTTAAGTTGCAGTTGTCATTGTTTGGTGGGCCCAGGCTAGATTCCAGCCCACTAGCTCCGGTGTATGTGGCTGGCGCCCTAGCCATTTAAGCTATAGGTACTGAGCCTGAGTTTATGATCTTAATAGTGGGGGGCAAACAGGTAAATATATGAACAGGATGACCACAGAAAGCCTCAGTTCCTCATCTGGAAAACAGTTGATAGGAAGTAACTAAAATAGGTAGCAGGGTAGTGTGGTAGGATTGGCCACCCTCAGGATTGCTTTGATTCTCTGTGTGCTCTTTAATCTCAGGGGGACTTAAATCAGGGCTATCCTTTCAGACTTTCTTAGTGATGGTCTGGATGATATTGGGATGCTATAGGAAAGGTCCTGGTCCAAGAGGCAGGAGCCCTGACTTCACTCCATAATTTAGTGTGTGGTCTTAAGTGAGTCACTAAACCTCTTTGGGCCTGAGTTTCCTCACCCGCAAAATGAGGAAAATGGACCGTGGATCACTCAGAACCTCTCTCTTATATGTTACCATATTGCTTATGTCACAGGAAGTTGATAGTAGCCCATAGCTGTGAGCACTTTTGAGCCTGTACATGAGCATGAGGGTAATGATTGATACCCTCAGCAGAAAGGATCACTGGGTGCTATACTAGAGACAGCTGTGGCATACCTGAGTGAACTTGGGTCTCAAGAAGGTCTCTTTAAATCTCGCCTCTGCTACTCACTGACTGGTAAGTGGGGCTGCCCTGTTTTAGCCCCCTTTTCTGGAGGACGTTAATGTCACATTATGCAGGGCCTGGCAAACTGTGAGTGCTGAATTATTTCCAAATGAACCATGAAGTTGCAGATTGCAGTTCCTAGATTCTAAGCTGCTTTCCAACCAGATGGGAGCAGGTAAACCAAGGGACACTGAGATGCCATACCATAAAACGCCTTTTTTTTTTTTTAGAGACAGAGTCTCACTTTGTTACCCTCAGTAGAGTTCTGTGGCGTCACAGCTCACAGTAACCTCCAGCTCTTGGGCTTAGGTGATTCTCTTGCCTCAGCCTCCTTAGTAGCTGGGACCACGGGTGCCTGCCACAATGGCTGGCTATTTTTTGTTGCAGTTTGGCCGGGGCTGGGTTTGAACCCGCCACTGTCAGTATATGGGGCTGGCAGCCTCCTCACTGAGCTATAGGCACTATCCCATAAAACACTTCTTAATGCATTACTGGTTTATACAGCAAGCAGTTCAAATGGTGCAAATGGTCCTGCAGTGAAAAATGAGTTGTCCTCATCCTTGAAGCTACTGTTCCTCTCACTAAAGGCAGCCACTAGGGTAGGTTTCTTGTGTATCCTTCTTGAAACATTCAAATGTGTATTCCCTTCCCCTTTATTTATTTTATTTTCTTTCTTTTTTTGAGACAGAGTCTCTGTGTCACCCTTGGTAGAGTGTCATGACGTCACAGCTCACAGCAACCTCAAACTCTTGGGCTTAAGCGATTCTCTTGTCTGAGCCTCCCAAGTAGTTGGGACTATAGGTGCCCACCGTAACACTTGGCTATTTTGTTGTTGTTGTTGTTGTTTTAGCAGGCCTGGGCTGAGTTCGAACCTGCCAACCTAAGTGTACATGGCTGGCACCCTAACCACTGAGCAACGGGCGCTGAGCCCCCATTTTATTTTATTTTATTTTATTTTTTTGAGACACAGTCTCACTTGGTCACCCTCGGTAGGGTGCCATGGTGTCTTAACTACAGCAACCTCAAACTCTTGGGCTCAAGTGGTCCTCTTGCCGCAGCCTCCCAAGTCGCTGAGACTACAGGCCCCTGCCACAACACCTGGCTATTTTTTAGAGATGAGGTCTTGCTCTGGTGCAGGCTGGTCTCGAACCTGTGAGCTCAGGCAATCCACCTGCCTCAGCCTCCCAAGTGTTTTTGTTTATTTGTTTTTGGTTAGCAGGCCCAGGCCAGCTTCAAACCCACCAGCCCCAGAGCATGTGGCCAGCGCCCTAATCACTGAGCTACGAGTGCCCACTGGACTTCATTTTTTGACTTAGCCTTATATATCATGGGAATTCATTCTAGATCAGAAAGTTTAGATATATTTCATTTTTTCTTGTGTCATTTTATTTTTTTTATTTTTTTTATCTTTATTTATTTATTTACTTTTTTGAGACAAAGCCTTAAGCTATCCCCCTGGGTAGAGTGCCGCCGTGGCATCATAGCTCACAGCAACCTCCAACTCCTGGGCTCAAGTGAGTCTCGTGCCTCAGCCTCCCAAGTAGCTGGGACTACAGGCACCCGCCACAACGCCTGGCTATTTTTTGGTTGTAGCCGTCATTGTTGTTTGGCGGGCCGGGCTGGATTCGAACCCGCCACCTTAGGTATATGTGGCTGGCACCTTAGCCACTTGAGCCACAGGCACCGAGCCTCTTGTGTCATTTTAATTATTTAGATACAATCTTTTGAAAAAGAAATACATTTGTATAATTCAAAGTTCAAAAAGTCACCAAAGCTTGTACAATGAATATTCTCCATCATATCCGCTTATAACTGTCCAGTTTTTCTCCCATGAGCAACCAGTGATGTCAGTTTCTTACATACTTTCTAGAGATGTTTTAAGCATAGATAAGCAAATGTCACAAATGTTTTCTCCCTTTTTACTTAGTATTACTAATCTGTATGCACTTTGCCTTTCTTCCCATTTACTGTATTAATTGTTTGCCCTGTAGTTACATACAAAGGTGCCTTATTTTTTTAAAAAATTGAATCATTTTGGGCAGCACCTATCACTCAGTGGGTAGGGCACTGGCCCTATATACTGAGGGTGGCAGGTTCAAACCTGGCCCTGGCCAAACTGCAACAGCAACAAAAAATAGCTGGGGATTGTAGCAGGCGACTGTAGTCCCAGCTACTTGGGAGGCTGAGGCAAGAGAATCGCCTAAGCCCAGGAATCACCACTTATGGCACCTACATCCCTACTGTGTCCAGTGCGAGCATGTACAACTCCCTGGTGCTGTGAGCTGTGTGACACCATGGCGCTCCATCAAGGGCGATAAAGTGAGATTCTGTCTCAAAAAAAAATTTTTTTTTGAGTCATTTTAATGATAATTTAGGCTTGGTGCTTGTGGCTCAAGTAGCTAAGGCGCCAGCCACATACACCCAAGGTGGCAGGTTCGAATCTAGCCTGGGCCTGCCAAACAACAATGATGGCTGCAACCGAAAAATATAGCCGGGCGTTTTGGCGGGCGCCTGTGGTCCCAGCTACTCGGGAGGCTGAGGCAGGAGACTCTCTTGAGCCCAGGAGTTGGAGGTTGCTGTGAGCTGTGATGTCACAGCACTCTACCCAGGGGGACAGCTTGAGTCTCCTGTCTCAAAAAAAAAAAAAAAAAAAAAGTTCTCTATTAATGGATGTTCTTTGTTCTTGTTTCTGCTTTTTTGCTACTACAAATAATGCTGCTAAGAATAGAGAACATACATGATTTTGTAGATAGACAAGGATATCTACAGAATATTGGTGGTATTCCATTGCACGGCTTTACTGTAGTTTCTATATCTAGTTTTCTCTTAACAGACATCTTAGTTGTCCATTCAGCCCTTATGATCTGCTTTCTCTCTCGTCCCTTGTTCTTCCCCTCTCCTAGGCACATGGCCACCCACTCAGCCCAGAAACCCCACCAGTGCATGTACTGTGATAAGATGTTTCACCGCAAGGACCATCTGCGGAACCACCTGCAGACTCATGACCCTAACAAAGAAGCCCTCCATTGCTCTGAGTGTGGTAAGAATTATAATACGAAGCTGGGTTACCGGCGCCACCTGGCCATGCATGCTGCCAGCAGTGGTGACCTCAGCTGCAAGGTGTGCTTGCAGACCTTTGAGAGTACCCAGGCCCTGCTAGAGCACCTGAAGGCCCACTCACGCCGAGTAGCAGGTGGTGCCAAGGAGAAGAAGCACCCCTGTGACCACTGCGACCGCCGGTTTTATACTCGTAAGGATGTGCGGCGGCACCTAGTGGTACACACGGGCCGTAAGGACTTCCTATGCCAGTACTGTGCCCAGCGGTTTGGCCGCAAGGACCACCTGACACGTCATGTTAAGAAGAGCCACTCGCAGGAGCTGCTCAAGATCAAGACAGAGCCAGTGGACATGTTAGGCCTACTCAGCTGCAGCTCCACAGTTAGTGTGAAGGAAGAGCTGAGTCCTGTGCTATGCATGGCCTCTCGGGACGTGATGGGGGCCAAGGCCTTTCCTGGCATGTTGCCTATGGGCATGTATGGCGCCCACATCCCTACTGTGCCCAGTGCGGGCGTGCCACACTCCCTGGTGCACAACACGCTGCCCATGGGTATGAGCTACCCTCTGGAATCCTCACCTATCTCTTCCCCAGCTCAGCTCCCTCCAAAATACCAGCTTGGATCTACCTCATACTTGCCTGACAAATTGCCCAAAGTGGAGGTGGATAGTTTTCTGGCGGAGCTTCCTGGAAGCCTGTCTCTCTCATCCGCTGAACCCCAGCCCGCCTCACCTCAGCCGGCGGCAGCTGCGGCCCTCCTAGATGAAGCACTGCTCACCAAGAGCCCCGCTAACCTCTCCGAGGCCCTCTGCGCTGCTAATGTGGACTTCTCCCACTTACTGGGCTTTCTTCCACTCAACCTGCCCCCATGTAACCCTCCTGGTGCCACAGGAGGCCTGGTCATGGGCTATTCCCAGGCTGAGGCACAGCCCCTGCTTACCACTTTGCAAGCTCAGCCTCAAGATTCCCCAGGAGCTGGGGGACCACTGAACTTTGGGCCTCTGCACTCCTTGCCTCCTGTCTTCACCTCTGGCCTGAGTAGCACCACCCTGCCTCGTTTCCACCAAGCATTCCAGTAGCCCCCACAGAGGCCCTCAGGTCAGTCTTTGGCTCTGTCAGGGGGCCGTAGTACCTACCCCGTCCGTGTCCCCCATGAAGGCAGCTGAGCTTTCAGAGCTGGGTTCGAAAAGAAAAAATTCCAGTGTCTGTATGGAGCACTTGGTTTAGGGGTTCAGGCTCCAGGATCGATTCCAGGAGGAGTTTTGAGCCCCAACCCCATGAAAAGATCTCATACCATAGGACTTCAGGTATTTTTACTTTTACTTTTTTGATCTGAATCGGGAGCCACAGTTAGTCCTCTTCCTCTCCAAAGTGTCAGAACCTCCTTCTCTTTGGAGAAGGGGGAGGGCTCTTGGAGACAGAGGGTTTCGTCTTGGATGACCTCAAGAGAAATCACCCAAGAAGTCTGCATTCTGGTCCCAACCAGCAGACCCCACAGCAGTCAGTTTGGTCAGGCCCTGCTGTAGAAGGTCACTTGGCTTCATCGCCTGCTTTCAACCAATGGGCAAGAGAGAGAGTCTCTGTTCTTCCCCACCACTCCCATCCCTACAGTACCAGCACCTCCATTTCCAGTCAGTGTTGTCCAGCAACGGTACCGTTTACACAGTCACCTCAGACACACCATTTCACCTCCCTTGCCAAGCTGTTAGCCTTAGAATGATTGCAGTGAACACTGTTTACACGCCGTGAATCCATTCCCACCAGTCCATTCCAGTTGGCACCAGCCTGAACCGTTTGGTACCTGGTGTTAACTGGAGCCCTGTTTACAAGGCGGAGTCGGGTCTTACTGACTTCTCTTCACTTGAGGTCACATTTTTCCCCTGTGGGGAAATAAACTGACTTTGGACTGCTTCAGTCTCTGCCATCTTCCATGACTGCGTCTGTTCCTGCCTTCCTGGCAGTGTCCACAGGAGACAGGCAAGAAGATTGGAGCAGTTTTCTCACAGGTCTTCAATTCTGTTTTTCTCCGAGTACATCATGACCCCCTTGTCCTCCTTTTGAACTGGAGAAGGGATGAAATTAAAGGCATGCATACTCTTATCACCTCCCCATTCCCTGATCCCCACCCTAAACATCATGAGCTGTTGTTATTAACCTTGGAAGGAGGGACGCTGGGTTCTAGGTTGGTGTGGATAGCAGAGGAGAGGGTATGAGCTCCTCATTTGTCTTCTTCCTACCTGTCCCTTTCCCAGGAAGTTGTGGAATTGTTGGAACAAGAGTTTTAAGAAAGTTAGGATGGGGCAGTTAAGTCCTGATCTATGGATACATTGTTGCTTCCTAAACCAAAATTTTTCTGCTGCTTCCACGTTGCAGTCTCCATGGACTCGGGCCACTGTGCTAGGCTCTACTCTGCAGCGACGAACTTCGACCTTCTTGTGGCCCCCCCCTCAGTTTTGTCCCTACTGTCCAGCCAGGTTTCTTGCAACATATGATTAGTTCTCTTCTGACTTGGGGGGCTTCCTGCTATAAACAGCAAAGCCTTTGCCCAGACTGCTCAGAGGAACCCCATCCTTGCTTCATCTCAGTTCTGCGTGGGCTTTGCGCTTCCCACTTGTGGAAGGGAGGCACCTCAGGGACCTCCGTTGCAGGACCCTCTTGAGACCCCTCCACTCTGATTCAGAAACACACTTCTACCTCTTTATTGTTAACTCCTACAGATGCAGCCAACAGTTTCGGGGCACTTCTCTCACTGAGTGCCTCTTGCTGGCTTCTCCACTAGGGTTTCAGGACAAACTACCAAGGAACTGCCTCAACCTCTCATCAGTCCTCCTCCAGTCCTCTTCTGTCTAGACTCACTTTGGTTTATCATTAGGAACTGAGCAGGTCCAAGACTCAGGCTTCTGCTTCAGCCCAGGCCAGTACTCCTTGTTTGAGGTGAAAGCCTTAAAATTTAGCTCCCTGGCCCTTGTTTGGAAGCAATGTGGAGTAAGTAAGCATGTTTTGATTTAGGCAGGATAGTTTGGGATACCTTTAAAAAAAACAAAGCCAGATGTTAAAATGTCTGGCAAGATTAGAATCAAGACTAGGTGATTTGCTTCTAAAAATAAGTTTCAGTGAGTCCCAGGGACTAATTAAGGTTTATATTTAAAAAGCGTCTACCTGGTACGCAGCCACCTTCTGCATGCTGTGCATGTTATTGGGACTCGTATTATAGGAAATGGTATGTGAGAATCCAAGTGGGACTGCTGCCATTCTCCTTGTTGTATCTGGTCTTTGGCACTAGAACCAGTAACCTTCCTCCCCTTTCCTGCCACTTTCCCTGCACCCTCAGTTTATAGAGGCAAATGGGTCTCTGGCCACAGAATGGAAAAGTCAGGCTGTTAGAGGACTCCTGTCCTCTCTGCCTGTCTTCCTGTCCGTCTCTTCAGTTTTCTCTCCCCATAAGAGATGCTGGGAAACTCAGAATCAGAATCGGCAAAGCAATTATTTAAAAACTAACTGGGGCCTACTCCCACCACCTGTCTTCTTTTGTCTTCCCCGAATCCCATCTCCCTTCCATCTTTCTCCCTTCTTTTCCTTCAATGCCCACACCACTCACAAGGAATTTTCCCATTACTGTGAACTTTGCTGAAGCAGAGGAATATTATCGGCCTTCACCTCTTTTTTGGACCACAGCCACCCAGCCATTTCTTAAACACCCCCTACCCCCTGGAAAAAAAAAAAAAAAGAAAAAAACCTTATTGACCTGGTTGTTGAAAGGATAAGAGTAGCTTTATCCTACATTCAGTACCCAAACTCATTGCAATATCCTTACTGAGGCCATGAGAGCCTGAAGGGCGTCTGCCCAGGACAGGAGCCATGGCATGCGGCAAAGATGAATCAGGGACCAGAAAAAAAGGGGCGACGTCCCCCTTCCCTACCACCTCTAGCCTCTGTCAGCAATGAGCTGTCCTGAATAGTGGCAACAGGCAGGCACCTCCCACCCTGCACAGTAGCTGGTCAGGGTTGAGTACAAGGGATGACATGCTAGGTGTCAGCCCAAATGATCTCTGCATCATCTTAAAGAGGTGGGAGTCAGGGAAAGGAGCACCAATGAGATTTTTCCCTTCAACCTTTACAAATGTCATTTTGTTAATGGAAACCCGGGAAGCAGGTGTGATTACTTTTTTGCTCATAGAATATTATCCTAAGTTGGGATTCTACTACCCTAAACCTTCCCTAGTAGCCCTTTAAATTCCCTTTTTGGTAGCTGTTTTCTCTGCCCTCTCTCCACCTCCCTTCTTATCTAGGAGCTGTTTTTAAGCACGATTTTTTAACAGGTTATATTGTACAGGATCAATATTTTGCTTTTTAACAAGGATATTTATGTAATAAGAAACTTTGCCTTAGGCAGGTGTTGGCCAGAAAAGTCCAGATTCCTCTGGGACCCCACCCTGGCCTCTCCTGGAGTTCTGAATCTGCTGTTGAAGGAATTGGCTGTGACCTTCACCACTGGAGAGTAGGGTCTGTGGCGAGGGGAAAGAGGTGTTCACCATGATAATCTAGTGCCTCCATGGAGGGGTTTGTAAGAATTCCAGTCCAATTTCTTTGTGTGTCAGCTGACTTTAGCTGATTCTCCCCATGTGCACCTCTCCACCTCTGCATATTTGGCACTAGAACCCCTGAACACCACTTCTCATCTCCTTCCCTCCCTATCAGTGGTCAAGGCTTTGGAGCCACTCTTGTAACGCCAGATTATTTAAAAAGAAAAATACAAGACAAAAATCTTCTAGCACTTTGTAAACACAGTGAATAACCTCTTGGAGTATTTTTGGCTTTATATAAAACAAGGTTTTTAATTGTAAAATATAAGTGCCATTAGAAAATGCACAGGGCGTATCTTTGTTAAAGTAGATTTTTCAATGTTTTACAGAATTACATTTTCAAAAGTTTTTATAATGAAGTTGTTTATTAAAAACTTCTGAATGATGTGTTTGGAAGTTGTGAACCTCTCTGATTGGGAAAGGGTTGGAGCGAGCCTGGAATTGGGAAGAATTGGAATCTTCAGAAATCTTCACCTCACCAAGGTGATGGTGAGGGTAGGGTAGATGGTAAACCCTCTGTTAACAAGTACAAGCTTTGTGTTTAGAAATAAAAGATATTTGAAAGTCTTCAAGGTAAGTGCCATCATCCTATCAGTTAATCATTTTGGATAAAAAAGTCAGAATACCCCAATTAAACAGTAAAATTTCATGTAATTGAAAAATGCCAGGGCTTGGCACAGTGGCTCCCTCATCTCAGCATTTTTGGGAGGTCAAGATGGGAGGACTGCTTGAGGCCAGGAGTTTGAGGCCAGCCTGGAAACAGCAAGACCCTGTCTCTACAGAAGATAAGAAAAATTAGCCACGCATGATGATGAACACCTGTAATCTCAGCTCCTCAGGAGGCTGAGGTGGGAGGGTCACTTGAGCTCAAGAGTTCTAAGTTATAGTGAGTTATGATCTGTTATCTACTGCACTCCAGCCTGGGTAACAGAATGAGACCTTGTCTCTTAAAAAAAAAAAATTGTTCTTTTAACGCAAGGTGGAAAACAGTCTAAAAATACCAGTTGTAGAGCAGCCTTTAGGTTAGATTGTTCTAGTAGCTCAAACATGATTGACCTTAGCATTTCTATTTCTGCCCTATCTTGTGCAGTTGTGGCTTCATCTTTAGGCACTACAAAGTAGGTTCTTGTAGGAATGGAATGCTGCCACTAGGTTCTTAGGTAAGAGGACTCCACTTTTTTTTTTTTTTTTTTTTTTTTTGAGACAAGAGTCTCACTCCATTGCCCTCGGGTTGAGTGTGGTGGTGTCATAACTCACAGCAAGCTCAAACTCTGGGACTAAAAGATCTTCGTGTCCCAGCTTCCAGAGTAACTAGGACTATAGGCACCTGCCTCAACACCTGGCTTATTTTTCTATTTTTAGTAGAGATCCCAATTTAGTAGAATCCCAATTTCTATTTTAGCAAGAGATTTTTGCTCTTGCTTAGGCTGGTCTTGAACTCTTGAACTCAAGCAATCCACCCGCCTCAAGTCTCCCAGACTGCAAGGATTACTGGTGTGAGCCACCATGCCCAGCCAGGACTTCACTCTCTTATTCATAGAAGCTGCAGTAAACATCTGTTTTATTGGCCTTGATGGGATTCTGTGCCATCCCACAAGCAGTCACCATAAGCCAGTGAGAACAAGACTGAGACAGGGAAGGAGGGAGGCTTCTCAAAGGAAATTTGGGATACTGTTAGGATGAAGAATGGATGCTGGTTATACAAGAAAAACGTCTACTACAGCCACTCACTGCCTAGAGTTCACATCTAGTTAATGACAGACCTAGGACCTGACCTACATTTGTGCCCAACCATCAACCAACCGTTGAGGGGCTGACATGGCTTTACGTGACATCATTGCTTGGCCAGTCTCTAACAGAGGCACACACCTTGTTCCTGGGCCTCACCCCTTGAGATCCTCCCATCAAGGGCTCAGACTGAAGCCAGTTATCTTTGGTTTGGAGCCAGTGTTCATAGCTAAGCAGTGCAAGTCACTATCCATGCCAAGAGCCCATGGGGGCATTAACATGTACAGGTGTTTTGTGTACAAAGGTGATAGGCTGGCCCTTCATCTTTGGCCTTGTACTTGACAAATGTTAAGTGTCTACTCAGGATCCCAGAGGAATCCACCTTCCCCTCTAGGAGGTGTATATCCCAGAACAAGTCTGGGGCCTCAGATGAAACAGCCGTTCTATCCTTAGGGCAGCAGAAAACAGGAGGCCTTCTAGAGGAGGTGGCAAGGACTTCCAGGCGGAAGTGGGCATTAGGTGTACTGACCTCCATAGGCCACAAGTTTAGGAGCTGAGATCACATGAAGATTTGCAGAATCAAGGACTGCAGAGGCTGGGTCCACCCATCCTCAGCCTACTCAAGTACAGACCCTGCCCGTCAGACTAGAGTCCACCTTTGTAAAGTGGCTGGTACTGAGCAAAGTGTAACCCCTGGGCCTAGGACAAGGTGAAGCAAGGCCTGCCTGGTTTCAGCTAACCAAGAGGATCCAGCCTCTGTTGGGGAAACTAGTACATGCACAGTTGCTCCCTGGTATGCTGTGCTGGAGACCCTCCCTCGCCCCAGATCCTTTCACTCTGACCTTGCTATATCCGCCCCCAAGAATATTTCCAGCACTTTCTTTCCTCACATGAATATTTCAGTCACCTTCTTATGCTTGACAACTATTCCCGCTATTTGTGGCTCCCCGTTTGAGTCTGGTCAGTCTCTGCAAGGGAATCCTCTTGAGCACTCTGCTGTGCCTCAGCAATTTATCCCGTGCAAGGCCGCAAGTGTTCTACAGCTGCCCCAAAGCAACGCGAGTGTGTGGGAGTTGGGTAACGCCCGCAAGCCCACAGCAGATCTGGTAATAGCCCTCGTTTGGCGCCGTGTGGCGTGGTGGCCGTGAAGGGAAGGTTATAACTGTACTTCACTGGGGAGGGCGGGTGTACTTGTCCCCAGGCGTCTGCTCTGAGCTGCCCCTCGCTTGGTATACACTTCGAGTAATCTGGAACCAGGTCTGTCTGGGCCTGTGTCGGGTCCCCACCAGGAAGACCCACACCCCTCCGCCAGGCCTTCAGGCTGTTAGTCCGGGGCAGCCCGCCAAGGCACCCTGGCGAATCTCTTCCGGAAGGTGGGGGCGAGAGGGGCGGAGTCTCCCCCTGCTGGCCCTACCCCCACCTCGCCTCGTCGCCGCAGGTAGCTGTGGCTCCGCCCCCGTGGCAGAACCCGCAGTCCTGCTGGAGTGCTGCGACCCCTTCCCGACCCGGGGCTCCTTCAGGTGACCGCGGACGACCGGGCGGAGGCCCTGTGAAGGTCCTGCGCTGGAGAGGGGCGCCCTCCCGGCCCCCCGCGTTCCCGACTGGAAAAGCCCAGGATCGCTGCCGCCCGGACTCGGCAGAGGGCCGCCGGGACCGCTCTGACTCCCCCGAAACAACCTTTGAGGCGAATGCCCCAACCCTGGAAAGCAGCCTGGTCTGGGACGAGGCCCGGGAAACCTGTGGGGCAGAAGGGTGGGATTGGGGGTGGGAGGGGCACAGGCAGGAGCCGGCGGGAAAGCCGAGGAAATGACTGAGGAGGGCATCATCTTCGTGGAGGAAGCCACAGAGAAGGTGGAGAAGCTGCAGATGGGGGAAGAGAAGCTGGTAGGGGAGGAGAAGCTGCAGGTGAGCACAGAGGCCCTGAACCTTGATGGCGTAATTGTGGACCCACTGGAAGCCATCCAGTGGGAGCTGAAGGCAGTGAGAGGCCAGGCCAACAGAGCCTACCTCTACTCTAGCGCAGGTTGCACTTAGCACAGAGGAGCTTCATTATCTAGAATACTCCAGGCTTCTGGGTCAACACCTTACCGAACTACCTGCAACTGTCAGTCTTGATTAGCCCCGAGATGAAAATATGCTCTGCTACTTGATGAATTTGGTGGTGAGGGAGCTCAGGCACTCCAGGACAGGTTGCAAGTTCAAGTTCTGCTTTTGGAGCAACCCCTATTTCCGGAACAAGGTGATAGTGAAGGAGTATTAGTGCAGATCCTTAGGCCGAAGGGTGTCTGTTGCAACTCAAATCTGATGGCAGTGAGGCCGGCACCCCCCATCCCCCACCCTGGTCTACAGGAACCAGGATGCTGTCCAGAGCTTCTTTAGCTGGTTTTCCCCCGCACAGCCTCCTGGAAGCTGGAAGTGTTGCCCAAGTTATTAAAGATGAATTGTGACCCAACCCCCTGCAAATACTACCTGCTGGGGGATAGGCCTCATGCAGCCAGGGGAGCCCTAGCAAGTGCCCACAGAGGCCCCTCCTAGGCCCTATAGATTCCAGTCTGGCTAAGTCCTTCCCTAGTATGTGGTGTCTACAAAAGACTCCCTTCCGCCTGCTGTGGGCCAGGGCTCAGGCCAGTGGCAAGCACTTTGCTGTCTGCTTTTTTTGTTCCCTGCACTCTGGCTCCTCTGCATGTTTGGTGGACTCAGCTCCAAGATTGTGGCCTTCATGGCCAGGCTTTACTGTTTCCATATGGCTTTCATGCTGTTCCATGTCAACATCACATGACTATTATGAGCCACTGCATCTATGCCAAGCACTCAGTGTTGTGGGTGTGTACTACTGTCATTTTCATTGTTTGAACCTATGACAATGGCCTTCCTACCCATCTTGACATAGGCAAATCATCACTAGGAGGACCAGTTAGTTCCTCTTTAAGGTCTACTGCTTCAAAGCTGCAAAAAACGCTGGGCTTCATATTCATGCTGGCCATGCTCCCAGTGGCCCCACACGCTGGCTGTGGCAAGCTGAGTCTCATTACCCAAGATGAAATGGTTGCATTTGGTGCTGGCTGCCATCCAGACTTGGCCATTCTATGACTTTAGGACCACAGGCCAGACTACCACCAAGTGAACTATTGGGCATCTGGCAAAATGGGCACACAACAAGGACACTGGGCATGTGCGAGGTCAAGGGTAGCACATTTTTCACGATCACACTGCATTTCTTTTTTCTTTCTTTCCTTCCTTTCCTTTCCTTTCTTTTCTTTCTTTCGAGACAGAATCTCACTGTGTTGCCCTTGGTGGAGTGCTATGGCATCACAGCTCACAGCGACTTCAAACTTTTGGGCTTACGTGATTCTTTTGCCTCAGTCTCCCAAGTAGCTGGCACTATAGGTGCCTGCCACAACACCCATCTATTTTTGGTTGCAGTTGTTTAGCTAGCCCAGGCTGGGCTCAAACCTGCTAACCTTGGTGTATGTGGCTGGTGCCCTACCCACTGAGCGACGGGCACCACCACACACAGCATTTCTTGTCCCATTTGGTCCTGCATCACACCCAGCTATCAGCTTGCAAAGGTCTGTGCTGTGCCCCATCAATGCCTGCCCATCACCTTTCTGATGAGTTTTACCCAGGCCACCATCAGCCCTGTTGCCGGCTCCTAGATCTACAAAAACTGACTGTGGACCCAGATGGGCCACCTGCCACTGGCCAGGAGAACCCCTAATCTTCTAGGAACTCTGCCAGGCTGGTGTAGCTGGGCATGCTCAGGACGGGGCAAGGATGGGACCCCTTCTGGGAATCCACCTTCCTGAGCCCTGGTTATTGGACCTGCCCAGAATCCAGGCTCTTCGGCAGTTCCCCTGCCTCCACTTGTTTTTAGGCTGCCAGGTTACTGTTACTGGGGAGGGAGCTTCTGATCATGGGGCTTGTCTGCACCTGCTCAGATCTCACATAATTTTTCTTTAAAGGGCTCAGAAACAAAACAACTGAAGAAGCAAGTTTTTTTTTACAACAGCTAAGGAGACAGACTATCCTGTTGAATCTGCCTCCCTTTGTCTGCTACAACTAGCCCTCTCTTTGCCCACTCTGCTCCTGTGCCCCACCCCCTTCAGCAAGGCCTGGAATCTTCAAAAGGTATGGGATAGTGGAAAGGCTTCTAAACAAAGAGTCAGAGAAGTTGCCAGGGGCTGGACTAGTTAATCATTTCATTTTATGCTGTGTTTTTTTTTTTTCCTGTTTGCAGTATCATACACAATCATCAAACTGCTGCTAGAATGCTCACACCTGTTACTGCAAATTTATGCTCTATTCTTTTAGACTAATGTAACCCTGACTCTGTCTTCCTCCTCCACCAGGTCCAAACCTACCACGTGTTTCTTTTCTTTCTTTTTTTTAAATTGTCACTAACTTGAAGCTCTGCATCCTAGGTTTCTGTACATGCAAGAGCTGAGCTGCTCCTTCTCTCCAAGTCCCTCCACCAAGCTGGCAGGACTGTCTGCTTCCATTTCCTTTGGTAGGGGAGGGGGCTTATCTTCTGCTCCCAGGGGCCTGGGGAGGCCTTAACACAAAATAACGGGAGAGGGTTCTTTTGGCAGGGGAGTTCAACAAGCCAGAGACAGCTGAAAAGGCAGACTGCTGAGATATGGTGGAAGGAGATCAACCCCTGATTTTGCTCTTTTGATTCATTGATGTGTTTTGTAAATCAGAAGAATAATAGAATGTCACAACTTTAGAGGTTTTTCTCTCTTGGTCTGACCTTGTTTGTAGAAAGTTAGTGATTTTTATTTTGCTGCTTTTAAGCAACGCCCTACACATCCCCTCCTGTGTTTCAGCTCACTGGGGAAATTGAACTGTACTTGCTGCTTTTAGTTGAGAACATTTATAAGATTGTCAATGTAAGTTTTCTTTGCCATTTGGAAACTTATGTAACAATTCACAGTTGTTATCAAGTTGTTGTGGCCTGTTAGTATAACTTTGTATGCAGGAGTAGAGTTTGAATAAGGTGGTTTTATAGGACTTAAGGCTGAAGTTATGGTTGGGCACAGTGGCTAATGCCTGTAATCCTAGCATCCTGGGAGGCTGAGGTGGGTAGATTGCCTGATCTCAGGAGTTCGAGACCACCTCTGAGCAAGAGTGAGACCATGTCTCCAAAAATAGCTGGTGGTTGTGGCAGGTGCCTGTAGTCCCAACTACTCAAGAGGCTGAGGCAAGAGGATCACTTGAGCCCAAGAGTTTGATGTTGCTGTGATGCCATGGCACTCTACCAAGAGCGACAAAGTGACATTGTCTCAAAAAAAAAAAAAAAAAAAAAGACTGGAAATTATTTTCTGGAAGGATAATCTCCATAAAGAAATGTGCAGTCCCAATGGTTTTGCATTTGTGCCCTGGTAGTGGTGCTATAATTGACATCACTAATTCTAAACAGTGAAATACGACTGAGATGGCTTTGTCCAATCAGAAGGGGATTCATGGTACTTTTGCATTCATGATATGCATATGAAAAAATAAACACCTTTTGGTCTGGGGAAAAAATAACTTAGATCATGTTACTCCCCCATTCAAAACCCTCCTAGATGTTTAAAAAAGACCTGAATTCCTTATTGCAGGTGACATAGTGTTGCATTTTCTGGCCCCTGCCACCTGCTAGCATCTGCCATCTTCCCCCCTTCCCTCCTTAAGCATCTTCCTGCCTCAAGCTTTAGCACTCATTTTTTTCCCTTTCTGGAATTTTCGTCCTACACATATTACCATCTCTGACTCCCTCAATTCATTCAGGCCTCAAATGCCACTTCAAAGCCCCTCCCTGCCCAGCCTGTGTGAAATAGTCTTCCATTCCTTCTCATCTTTTCCTTTCCTTGGTGATTCTCTCCGTGCCAATTGTAACTCTCAGAAATGATCTTGTTTCACATGTGTTAGGAGAACAGGGATCTATCTACTATTTTATCCAGCGAGGTTCAGTATCCAACATCTCAAAAATTGCTGGTGTAAGTGAATGACTTTATTCATAGTCAGAGTACTGTGCTACGGTCCGACAAAATAAAGAAAAAGGCATTGTCCCTGCCTAAGGGATTTCAGTTATTGTGTCCTAAACACATCAGACATTTTCATACTCAGTTACATGAAGGGTGGGGGTGATGAAGGGTAGCCATATAATTTGTCATCCAGTTGGAACACATCAAGCAGAACCCAGCTAAGTCCAGCTTGGCATACAGGTCACTCCAGCTGTCTATGATGATGTGGGATCAGAGGGTGGAGACCTCTCTGAAGTTGGGACACTGGAGCTGGGCTTTAAGAAATGCATAGGAGTTTAGAAAGTGGGTCTGTGGAAGGGAATTCCTAGCAGAGCAAATGGCATAGCAAAGGTACTGGAGTATGAAAATGTATGATATGTTTAGGACATGGTCTGGCCCTGGGTATGGCTGCTTGAGTGAGGCAAGGCTGGATGGATAGGCTGAGGCCTCTTCTGAGAACAGGAACTCTGATCACCAAGCCCAGGCATCATCCTGTGGGGAGTGGGGAGGGGTATCTGCTGTGGCTCAGAGGCGAGTGCCTGCAGTTACAGACCTGTGGTATCTTCAGTTTGACGCTTATCTGTCTATCCAGGCTGTAGCTCTTCCAGGAAGCCCTCCATGTTTACTCCAGCCCATAATAACTTCTGCCACCACCCCAATACAGTCTAAAACCAGAACTTGGGCACCAAAGCCAGGCTGGGCTGTACCCTCTGGATGTGTCTTTTGTGCCAAAGGCCTGGCCCTGAAGCTCTCTGGAGAACTCCGGTGAGCCCCTAAGCATCTTGATAGTCCTGGAAGCAGGTACTCTGCGTGGTTTGCCTGGTCTATGGCTGGGGGTTGGCAGGTCCAGTGTGACTCCTGCCGCCCTAATTTGGGCCCAGCTGCATCCTGCACGCCTTTGGGTCCTGGACGTTGGTACTTTCCTAACATGTGTTCACTGCTCTTTCTGCTGCATGGCCACTGGCATGCTTCCTTCTCCCTGCAGCAAGGGCACATCCCACCTACCCTCCTGGGACATGAGTCTCCTCAGAACCGCTCTTGCTTATTTGTCCATGCCCTGAGTCATGCATTTGTTTATCCACACATAGTTAGTACCACCTTTATCCTAGACATGAGGTGACTACTGTGGTCCCTTCCCTCAGTGAGCTGAAGGGTCCAGTGGTGAGGCTGAAAAGCAGTGATGATAACCACCAATGTTTACTGAGTACCAGCTATGTGCCAGAGATAAGGCAGGATACAGCAGGCAGAGTGGGTCTCTAAATCTGAGTCAGACTGTGTCCTCTTTCCAACCTTCCAATAGCTCCAACCTCACAAAGAGGAGGAGCCAATATGCTCTGGACGGCCAGCAAGACCCTCATGATCTGACCTCTGGTCACCTCTCCAATTTCATGTCCTATGCTTCTCCCCCTCTAGATCACTTTCCAGCTAGTCTACAAACCTGGCTCAAGATCTTCTGTTCCCTCTACCTGGAACTTTCTTCTCCTGATATTTGTACAGGTGGTCCCTCACTTCATTAAAGTTTCTTGGCTCAACTCTTAGTATTGCCTCTGCAGGAGAAGCCTTCCTGGACCACCCTTTCTAATTATCACCCCTGTCATTCTCCCTCCCCTCCCCTTTGTCTGAGTTGGATTTTTTTTTTTTTATAATATTTAGGACCAAGTGATATTATGTTGCATATTCATTTATTTATCTGCCCTTTTCTGTACACTCTTGGGACTGTTTTTTATCCACTGCTGTATTCCCCTTACATAGAATAGCAGCTGGTACAACTAGAGGTTCTGTAATTCTTTATGGAATGAACGAATGCTCCATACCTTCAAGGTTCAGGAGGGTCTTTCAGGTGGCAAGGGGACAGCATGCATAAAGGTGTGGACACCTGTTGGAAAGCCTTCCAAGATTTGAATATCCCTTAGGATAGGAAGTCTCTACTGCCCAAGGCAGCCCTTTCCCAGTCAGTCTTTGAGTTGAGGCAATAAATGTCCTCAGGCCCATTCCTGATCCCTACTACAGAGAGATGGCCATGTGGCTCCAAGGGTGGAGGAAGGAGGCCTGGCTAAGGAGGGGGCTTTCTTCTCTGGTGTGAAGAGCAAACACAAGCCCCAGATCCCAGGGTTTTGCTCGCCTCTGGTCTCAGGTTCCTGCCCTGTTCTGTTTGCCAAGAAGGAACTTTGGACAACTTTTTCAATCTGAGAAAAATCTGTCCCGAAACTATGGCAATTACTTGTAATCTGCAACTGTCTTGATTACAGCTCAGGGGACTTTGATATTTTCCTCCAAGGATACCAATTCAACAGAAAAATTCAAGGAAGTCCATGGCATCTGCTTGCCCTTCTCTGCAGGGGAACTTAATATTGACTTGAGTGTGTGAACTTTGAGGCCCCTACCTGCAGGCCCCACCATGAATGCTGACTCAGTATCTTGGGGTACAGCGCTGTGTTGACCAGGTACCAGTTAGAAGGCTGATAGGCTTGCAAGAGGCTGCTGCCTGCTCTTGCCAATTCTCTACTGTGTGGCCTTGGGTCTGTCTTTTCACAGCTGTCAGCTGTTTCCTCATCAGTGGAGAAACTTGGTACTCCATAGCAGGAGGAAAAATTGCCTTCTAGGAGACTCCCACTCCCCAAGCTCTTCCAGGTGTCTGGCTCAGTGACAGTGCTTTTGGTGGCATCTAATAGAAACTCTAACTTCAATTAAGTTAAACAATAGACTTTTTTCTTACATGAATATCCAGAGGCAAAATGGGCTTTGGTGCCATTTGATTCATCAGCTCAATGATGCCTTGTCCTCTGATCTGCCATCATCCTTGTTGGGTCCATATCCCTTGGTGCCAAGATGGTGGCATTAGCTCCAAAAGTCACACTGGGATATAGCAACTTCAGAGAAGGCTGACAGTCTTACCATGACTCCTGTTAATGAAGAAAACTTCCCCAGAAGCCACTTAGATGCTCCTGGTCCTGTATCTTACTGACTAGAACTAGGGCATGTACCCACTCTTCAATCATTATTGATAGAAGGGAGCAGGGTGGCATGACTTGCTTAGACCACTCATTGGTGGAAACGGATGTCTGCCCATAATGTCAGTGGGGTAGCTAAGACCACTGCCTGTAGGGGTCACAGTCCTTTCTATGGGACCCTCTTAGCTAGCACTTTGACCCTGTGATGGCCCTCAGTGTTAAAGGTTACTGATTTCTGGGCCAGCACAAGTCCAATTGTAAGATTCTGGACCTAGAAACTTCCTTTAATCGAGCCAAGCCACTGCCAAACTCAGATTCCCAGGAGGAAGGCCCTTTAGACTCCCCTTTGGTAGGTGAGACAGGAATAAATGATCGGATACTTGCTGTGTAAGCAGCCC